CCCCAAAACCCCAAAACCCCAAAACCCCTCTAGAAAGAAAGTTAATGAATATTTATAAAATAATAAAATTATAGATTAAAAAGAATCAATGAAATTAATTCTAGTTATTGAAAATTTTCACATAATTTAGATATGAATTGTCATTTGTTAAGCTTGAGTTTCTTTTAAATTTTAATAATCTCGTCGAAATCATCAAGTATAGAGGTTTCCTGGTTAAAATTTTGGAAAAATTGAAGCATTTCATATCCTTCTTCAGTTGATACTTCTTGCACATCTCGACTATGAACAACTGATTGGTAATCATTAAGTTTATTTTTCAAAGGCTTAAAGTACTTATTAGGAATGTCTTTAACAAATATCCAATCTAGTTTGAATTATCCATCCCATTTGTCTTAAGAATCCCATTTTATACAAGATGGAGGCTAATAAGAAGAATCAGACAAGAGTTTAGCAACTGAACAAAATTGAGAGCTCTTATTAATGCTGAAAAATAAATAAATCGGAAAATCATTTTTCATTTATATACATTGGTGGAATGCTTCATTCAGTTTTTTTGTACCATCCTTAGTACTTGCCCAGCATTTACTAATCAAAGCCTAAAGATTATTTGAAGAAATTATCATACCTTATAGATATTATTTTGATTAAAACTTTTAATGATAAAATATCTGGCATTGTACTTGATTATTGGTGTCACATTGTGATGATTGACTTATTCAAACTCAAACTCTTATATAAATTTTCTATACTCTACATGTTATGAATATCATTCTGTTAGTATTTACTTTGCTCATTTTTAAGAGAATCTAGTCTTATCATAGAGTTTGGATTATTTTAAACTGAATTTCTTGGTAGTTATGTCTGTATTTATTGATTGTAGTACTAATTAAGTTAAAATGAAAATTCATGGCAAGATACCTATTACTTATTTTGAGAGCTCTTTTCAGAATTATTTTACTTTACTAGATTATCTTTAACAAAAGGAGGACTTCTGATATCTAAACTCGAAACAATTTTTGATTCACCTTTTTGTTATTATTACATAATTGATTGATAGAATAGTTGAGATTTTACTTTCTATATATTCTAAAAATTCAGTTAATCTCTTTAACTTCATTCTAGAATTTAAAATTGTAGTTCAGGAATTATATTTTTCTGAGGACTCTCAATACATTTGTTGAAATTGGTTTTACTCTCTCTGAATTAAATACTTTAGTCATATGTATTTTACTAAGGCATAATCTAAATGTGACATAAGTTATCAAATTTTTGTTTTTCAACTTATATTTCTTCTTCTTTTAAAAATAACTCATCTTAGGCTCCTGAGTAGAAATAAGGTTTCTGAAATTATTGCTGTTAATGGGAATTAAAGGATTCTCCAAACTTTTCTTCTTTATCTAAAGCTAAAGTTTACTCATATTAGTTGCTTTATTAGTAAACAAATTCTCCAAATCTTTCTTTTTGTGAGAAATTTTGAACCGAATTATTATCTTTAGCAAGTAATTAGGAAGTCTTAGAAATCATCAGTCTTCACAATAATTAATAATATTTAAGGCTGGCTGATTTAATCTTTATGATAATAATTTATAAGTTGCCTTGATAATTTACAGCTACTGGCTAATTTTTATTTAACAATTTTATGAATCTTCAAAGGATCTAGGGGTTTTGGGGTTTTGGGG